CATCTCGTATTTCCAGAATTATTTTTTGTTTAATAATTTCTGGCACACATCGGTATTTGGGACGCACCTCCCGAACAGGAAGAGTCAGGGTGAGAGGGAGGCGTCCTTGGTAGTGTTGCAGGTGTTGCAAGTCACAATAACGTGGCTAAAGTAAGTTGACCAGACCACACACTAGAAGGTGAAGGGACGACGACGTTTCGGTCCGTCCTGGAGCATTCTCAAGTCGATTGTCGACTTGAGAATGGTTCAGAACGGACCGAGACGTCGTCGTCCCTTCACCTTCTAGTGTGTGGTCTGGTCAACTTGGTAGTGTTCATTTGGCGGCCGCCACTCTTGCAGCCTAGCAGTCTTTCTTAACATAAACCTAGGAAACATTATTACCCATAAAAGCCTCTCCTCTCCTTCAACATGAATCATCATCCATGCTCAAATAACCCTCTGCATATCACCCCCTCCCAACCACAGGGTCTCGTTTTTGTAAACACAAAACTCAAGGCACAATATCATGCAGTTTGCTTGTCATAATTTTTTCCCCTGTTCTCTCCCGTCACCCCTACTTCCTCCCCTCCGTTCATCCCCCTCTATTCTTCCCTCTCGTTCATCCCGCCCCTCCAGTCCCCCCCTACTAAGAAAAAGTAATTTGAGTAGAGATTTACAGGCGCGTTGTCTGCTCTAGACGAGCTATGATTAGATTAATCCATAATGACGGTGGTCTCTCTCTAGCCGTCAGGGCACGCACCTGTCTTATGATGTGAGGCGGTCACGTGCAGCGTTCTGCTAGTAATGAATGACCGCAGCTTGAGGTATTCTTGGGTGGTGAGGGCACGGCGATGGCCAGGCCCAGGTGAGAGGGGGGGGACGAGGCCCAGGTGAGAGTGGGGGGCGAGGCCCAGGTGAGAGTGAGGGGCGAGGCCCAGGTGAGAGTGGGGGGCGAGGCCCAGGTGAGAGTGGGGGGGCGAGGCCCAGGTGAGAGTGGGGGGGCGAGGCCCAGGTGAGAGTGGGGGGGCGAGGCCCAGGTGAGAGTGGGGGGCGAGGCCCAGGTGAGAGTGGGGGACAGTTTTGTCCAGCGTTGGTAGCGTGGAAGGGGGCGGGAGTAGTAGCGCGGGTGTGTGTTTTACACGCAGGTTAGCGAGTAAAGAAGAAAACCAGTGAGTGGGCGCAGATGCGTGTCGTAGGAAGAGAATGCGTGTGTGGTGTACAGTATTGATCAGCTAGAGGGAAGTCTCCCTGGCGCCTTTAGACCTGACCCCCCACCCCTCCACCACCCACAAGACCGATGACATGTAAACCCCCCCCCCCCCGCACGCACACGTATATACGAAGACATGTATGAAAGACACGCACACATGCACCCACTCCCCCCCCCCCCCCCCCCCTCACACCTTGTTTACCGAAGGCTATAGGAAAGACGAAGCAGGATATAAGTATAACTCATATCCTGCAAATACACTTGGGTTACCTCCTTCCCCGAAGTAAATTCGAAGTGATCTTATCAATACTGGCGTCAGACAACACCAAACACATTCTGGGTAAAACTTGTGGCGCCAGCTGTTGACGCCGCGATCATTGTATTCATCGACTATATTAGCGAAAACATGCTCCCAGAATATACTGTCATATAATATAATTATATGCATACACAATATGGCGGGTCGTGGGTGGGGGAGGGCAGGGTGATGGCCTGGCTGGGGGAGGGCAGGGTGATGGCCTGGCTGGGGGAGGGCAGGGTGATGGCCTGGCTGGGGGAGGGCAGGGTGATGGCCTGGCTGGGGGAGGGCAGGGTGATGGCCTGGCTGGGGGAGGGCAGGGTGATGGCCTGGCTGGGGGAGGGCAGGGTGATGGCCTGGCTGGGGGAGGGCAGGGTGATGGCCTGGCTGGGGGAGGGCAGGGTGATGGCCTGGCTGGGGGAGGGCAGGGTGATGGCCTGGCTGGGGGAGGGCAAGGTGATGGCCTGGCTGGGGTAGGGCAAGGTGATGGCCTGGCTGGGGTAGGGCAGGGTGATCGCCTGGCTGGGGTAGGGCAGGGTGAACGCGTGGCAGGGGAAGAGCAGGGGTGAACGCGTGGCAGGGGAAGAGCAGGGGTGAACGCGTGGCAGGGGAAGAGCAGGGGTGAACGCGTGGCAGGGGAAGAGCAGGGGTGAACGCGTGGCAGGGAAAGAGCAGGGGGTGGTTACATGGCAGGGAAAGAGCAGGGGGTGGTTACATGGCAGGGGAAGAGCAGTGGTGAACACATGGCAGGGAAAGAACAGGGGGTGATTACATGGCAGGGGGAGAGTAGGGGTGAACACATGGCAGGGGGAAAGCAGGGGGTGAACACATGGCAGGGGGAAAGCAGGGGGTGGTTACATGGCAGGGGTGATTACATTACAGGGGAAGAGCAGGGGTAGTTACATTACAAGTGTAGAGCAGGGTGATTACATGGCATGAGGAAGGGAGGGTGATTACATGGCAGGGGGAGAGCAGTTTGATTAAATGGGGGAGAGGGAGGGATTGTAATTACAGGAGGGGGGGGGAAGAGAGAAGGATGGTGATTACATGGAACAGAAAGGGAGTTGGACAATTTTCCCAAGATAATAGCAGTAATGTGAAGTAATAAGTCTGGCCTTGGAACTCCAGATTCCTTCCACGCTTACATTGTTTTATTACAACTCTCTTGTATGGCATTAATACTCTTACCTTTTTCATGCCTTTAACTGAATGTTCCACTTAATCACCAAGATTTTGTAATCAAATAACCTATTGTACATTCTTGTTAATAAATAACCAATAATACTTTGTGTACATTTATTGTCATTAGCTGCTAAAACAAGAAAGTGCAACCCATTCTCCAAACATTTTGTTATATCTACTATGGATATAATGTAGCTATAACAACCCGACTGAACTACTGGGACTCTCACCTAATTATATATGGCATAGAAACTAAAACAAACTAGACCGAACATATGCAAGTTTTAAGCCTATTTTATTACATAAATGGCTAAGGAAGTTAGGTTTGGTTGTTGCCTTCTTTCTTCCACCCTTCACAAAATTAATAGGTGCAACAGTCCATATTTTGTACATTCCATCTATAATGGTTCTGGGTATATTTGGAGAACTAGTTGGAGTGATTTCAAGAGCTAACATCTCCAGTCAGTAATGTATAAGCTGTCTGGTGTTGGCTTATTCAGCCTGCCTCAACAAACTCTGTTAAATTCAGAGATGGAGTCATTGAGACTCCAAGCACAGTTTCTTGTGAAGGAGAATGAGAAGCTACAAAGCCTCCTATGAGATGCGGCGGCGGCGAGTAAAAAGTTAACCATCATCGGCAAGAAATATGACAACGTTGAGGGAAACTGGATGATGGTTTACTTACCTAGTGCTGGAATTGGTGATGGAGTTATAGTGGATAAAGGCTGAAATGGTATGGAAACCAACCTATTATTTGCCTCAACACAGGACAATGATGTTGAGAAGCATGAAGGGCATTGCTTGTCAATTAAAGGACAGTACTGTATTAGAATTTTGGACCCTCTATGGGTCCTAGTCATATTTTGCATTTTGCAGAGTTGGCAATTGATGTTCAAGGCAAAATATATCAATTGCAGACTTGACAAATAAGCAAGCCCAATGCAATATCATTTAGTAGCAACTATGAAAGTGTAATCATTCATTTTATCAGACAGAGGAAGCCCATCCCCCCCCCCTTCCCCCCATCACACATACACACCCACCCACCCACCCACCCACCCCAAAGCTAGAAAATAGAAGAAAAAGAGGTGATATGATAACCACTTACAAAATAATAACAGAAATCGACCAAATTGACAAAAAGGAATTCCTGGAACCAGCAACTTCAAGATCAAGAGGACACAAATTCAAGCTAACGAAACATAGGTGCCCCCAAAATTATTAGAAAGTTTTCTTTTGCAAACAGAGTGGTAGACGGTTGAAACAAGTTAAGGGACAAGATTGTGGAGGCCAAAACCGTCAGTACAGTATTATCAAAGCATTATATGACAGAGTACTGGGAAGATGGGACACCACGAGCGTAGCTCTCATTCTGTACCTACACATAGGTGATTACACGCACGTTATTTATTTGACTTAGCTAGGCAAGTTATTTATCAATGGGCAACCAGTAAAATACATGAAGTGATATAGTATACATTTATTACCAGTAACTGCAGTGTGTGAAGTGTCCCAGGCATTATCAGTAAAAAGTGTGAATAAATGCATTACACAGGTATTACAAGTAAGAGATGTGTACAAGTACATCACAGTCATTACCAGTAACAGATGTGGATAATCAACCATTACCAGTAACAGGCATAGATAAGTACATCAGTCATTACCTGTAACAGATGTGGATAATCAGTCATTACCATTAAGTCCATCATGGTCATTACCAGTAACACATGTGGATAGGTGCATCACAGTGATTACCAATAACAGGTGTGGATAAGTACTGTACATTACAATCATTACCAGTAACAGCTGTTATAAGGAATATGGAGGGATGCAGACAACATAGCAGTAATTAACCTGATTATAAAATGACATCAAGCACAGTACCAGGAATCTCAGACAAAAGGTAAAAATGAATTGCTAAATATAAGGTAATTAAATAATATTGGTTTTGCACCCTCGCCCCCCCCATCTTGGCCATCCTCTTGATCATTTCATCACTCACATTTTGAGTCAAATAGAAGAATGGAGAGAGGGTGGCAGTTGTATTATTTAAAATATTTATTCTATTTTTTGGTATAATGAGGAAGAGATTTATTTTTTAGAATTTTTTGTAATACTTCTTGTTTGGTTTTGTCTGTCTGCATATGTACAAATCTCAATTCTATGTTTAATGGTTTTTCATGTATAACATTCCATGTCTATCTCATAATACATAGGATATGTAAAGATTAAATTTTCTCTCATTTAATATATTAGTGATGGTGGAACATGAAATTTAATCTCTTTATAGTTTTCCCTGAGTTTGTTTTCATACACTTTTCTTCATGACAGGTATAACCAATCCAAAAGCACCACCAGGGAGTAAGGACGCCTCCAAGAACTTCAACTTTGACTATTCCTACTGGTCACACGATGTGAGTTTTTATAGAATTGTTCTTTGCATTGCATTACCTCAGGGAAATTGTCAGTGAGTTCATACAATATGCCCATTCATTTTAGACTTCATTATTAAACATTGTTATTAAGTGTTATTTATACATTATTTGACATGAGGGTATGTAAGCAGAGAAGCAATGCAGTAATGACAACTGTACATGGAAAGGGAAACATACAACATGATGAAGTGGATGCCACCAGGTAAACAGCTCGCCTGGGGGGTTGCTTGTTGCAGTGAATAGCATTGTTAGGATGGAGGGAGGGAAGCTGTGTGAACCCCAGATCCACAACTGCTTACCAGCTTAGTTCCTTCTCCTTAGGATGACACCTTTCTATCCCTGGCATTGGGAGTGCAATACAGCTCTTTCCTAAGGCCATCATGGCTTACTTCCAGGGCTGGGGAGTGGGAAAGCCCAAGGAGGGTCCGTGGGTGCCCTTCAACTCTTCTTGGACATTGGTGCCTTCAACAGAGGGTATTTTGACAGACTCGTTTCCTCCCTCCCTACCAGGTTTGTCAGTTCTATGGGCATTAGGTCTCAACTGACATTGAAGCTGGCTGTGGGCTAGGGCTCCAGGCTGCCTGGAGCAGCTATCAGTGCTTACCTGTCGGTGACTATGGGAGGAATGAGATATAGCTCTTTATGCCCCACTTCCTAGCCATTTATACCTGGTGCACTCCTTTCAATAGTAACATTTTCTCATATTTCTTTTTAATGTGTGGAATCGGCTTCAACAACCTCTCTTCTTTAATGCATTCCATTTTTCTACCACCTGTACAGGTAACAAGAACTTCCTTGCATCTCTTCGATTATGTCCCCTTGTCTTACCTCTTTTTAATTTAAATAGGCTTCATTTATCCACACTATCTATTCCCCCTCAAATGTTTAGTTATCATATCCCCTCTCTTCTCTCCACTAAGGTTGTGAGGGTGAGTTCTCTCAGCCTGTCCTCATAGCTGAGGCCTCTCAATTCTGGCACTAATGTAGTTGCAAGCCTCTGAATGTCCTTCAGTTTCTGTTTATGCTTCACAAGTTGTGGGATCCATGTTAGAGCTGCATACTCAAGGAATGGTCTCACATAGGCACTGTGCATGTACAGTACTTGAAAACCTCCTTGTTTAGATTCTTAAATGATCTTCTTACTTTACCAACTTCTCATTTGCTGCTGCTGTTAACCTGTCCACGTGAGCTTCTAGTGTTAGTGTTGGATTATGTCTACTGACAGCTTTCTTCTTTTGTTGTTTCTTGTAATTGCCTTCCTATGGTGTAGTTAATTACAGGTCTCCTGTCTCCCTTACCCATCTTCATTACTTTGCACTTATTTGCATTGAATTTCAGCAGCCATTTATCTGAACACTCCTGAAGTTTGTTAAGGTCTCCTGCCGCAACCTAAAGTCCTCTTCAGTTCTTCCTCTCCTCATTAACTTTGTATCATCTGCAAACCTTGACATGTGTGCTCACTCCTTCTGAGAAGTCATTTACTAAGGAGTTTTGGCTGTCTCGATGCATCATTTCTTATGAACCTAGCAGTTATTGGTAAAGCTTCACTGGCTTTCTAAATGCTTTCCTTACAAGGGTCATGTTAATTGTTCCCTGCTTCCTGTGCCTCGGTGAGAGGTGGGGTCAAGCTCTGGCTCTGGTCTTTGGTAGACCAGACAGAACTCCTGCAGCTGATATGACCCAGTAGTGGGGAGCCATCTTGGCAAGATAGCTTCAGGGAGCCATTGAGGCTCTATCTAAAAGAGGCATTTCATTACTTTCAATCCTGGTTTTTCATGCTCTTTTATTTATCCTGGTTTTTTGTTTTCCTTCAAGCATTGCTTGTCAAACCATGAGCTATTTTTTTTTTTATCTCCTGTTGGTGTTAAGTGTTAGGGTGTGTAAGTCAGTGATAGTGATAGAAAGGGAGAGCCCATCTATCCATTTCTCACCCCACTCGCCCCAGTCTTGAGGTGTGGAGGTCAGTATAGAAGCACTATGAAAACACTATACTGTATATTAAATAATCAACTAAGCAATGTGGACCTACCAGCATTAAAATCCTAGTTGAAATGTATGAATATTTGTACAACAAAAATTCTAGCGACATGATTTCAGGGAAGTTTCGCTGTAAGTCTCTGACTTTAGCGAAGAATTTAAATAGGAGATGGGTATAAAATTGTCTAATGATGATGTATGCATATTCATAACATCTGGAATATTATATAGTTAAAGTTATTTAACTGTTCCATTCTGTTTCCTCTAGGTAAATGACCGAAACTTTGCTTCACAAGCAGATGTTTTTAGAGACATAGGTGAAGAAATGCTACAACATGCTTTTGAGGGTAAGCTAACTTTGCTAACATGTAATAGGAATTTATCATAAACTGTGCTGTATTTTTGTTCATAACGTTAAAACCCTTTAATACAATATTAGTGGTGTGAATGTATATGTATACAAGTTGGTAGAACTTTATGCAGGGTTTCCAGTAGTTATGATATACAGTACAGTACAGTAGTTTGTTTTAAGTGAGTTTGAAGTGCGGCAGTTAAAGTTAATTGGTATGATTTGAGTTATATTTAGGTTTAAGATTTTCTTGTAGCCTAAACTTATTTATGTTCTCATTACACACCAAATGAAAATTCAGCTTTGAAGATTAGGCCCTTATAAACAGATTGAGAATTAATTTTTCCTGTAGGATATCACAGCACGAGTTAGTACAGTAAAATAAGAGCTCTCTCACTCAATCATCTCCTCCCATCTTCCTATCTTCTCTTGAAAACTACAGATTTCACCAGACCAGTAGAGAGTAATATGAATTAGTATTTGGTAGAATCATTACACCCACACTTTTCCACTAACCTTCCCACCAACTCCCTCGTACCACCTGGCCACCTTCCCACCCCACTCACTCACTCAGTCCACTCACTCCACTCTCACTCACTCACTCCACTCTCACTCACTCACTCCACCCACCCACCCACCCAACCACCAACCCACCCCACTCACCCCCCCACTCACCCCTATATATTGATTGCTTTATATTGATTTTAGTTTCACCTCCCAACAGGTTACAATGTGTGCATTTTTGCCTATGGGCAGACAGGTGCAGGGAAGTCATACACAATGATGGGTAAACAAGAGGAGGGCCAGGAAGGAATTATTCCTCTTGTCTGTAAAGATATGTTTCAAAGAATTGCAGGTGGTAAAGATGAAGAACTCCAGTATTCTGTTGAGGTATGTTACTTATTTTGTTCAAATATCGTAACTGTTTTTTGTCTTCACTCTACTTCACTATTTTCTTTTTTATTTAATAACTTGAGGATTGCTTTTTCGCATTTCTTTGGTTGGGACGTTGTTTTTCCAAATCCAAAAATAGAAATTGTAAAACTATTCAAATTTCCAGAACTAATATCAATATCAGAATTTACATAATTTTAAACTGTGTATACCCAAGGAAGTTTTAGAGTATTTTTATTTATTTTTATATTTTAATATTTTTTACTTCATTGCAAAAAAAGGAAAAATAAAATATTTTAAGATTTGTACATATTGGTGACCTATAGCTAAGGTCATAAGCACCCTCTTAAGAGTCAAGTGGTCCACAGTGTATCGGTGCTTCTTCAGCATGAGTATGCTTGACAACTGTTCACTTTAGTCTATTTACTAATGAGAAATATTCCTTTATAATCTGAAATAAAGAAAAAAACCCTCTGTTGTCTGCATTTCCTAATGGTTTCTTTAATTCTCATAACATCCCTTTAACGTACTGCAACCCTCTTTATTTAAACAACCTGCCGATTCCATCTGTCTTGTATAAGCTCTGTACCACTACCTCTCGGGTATTTTGAACTTTGTTTTCCATCACTTTCCCTCACACTCGTCTATGAAAATTAAATATGTAATCACGGTAATTAGTTAATTTATAAGTATGTATACTAACATGTACTGTATGTGTAAAAATAATAGATATTGATGACAGGTAAGCTACATGGAAATCTACTGTGAACGTGTTAGAGATTTACTGAATCCTAAGAAACAGAACAACCTCCGTGTCCGTGAGCATCCTCTCCTTGGTCCATATGTAGAAGACCTTGCAAAATTGGCAGTCACAACCTATGAAGATATTCACAATTTAATAGATGAAGGAAACAAAGCCAGGTGTGTTTCATATTAAGTCTCAATCTTCATTATAAGATCATAATTTGTTTTTGAGAACATTTTTGGAGCAGGAGAATGGAGTCAGTCAAGACACACACTCTACCCATGACTATGATATGCTACAGGCCACACAGCCTTTGTGTAGGCTGTGTAACCTTTTATCATATTGTGGTCTATGGATATGGCTTGTGTCTTTGGTGACCCAGGATGCTGATTCCATCCCACCATCCTGATCCAAAGATTTCCTCAGATCTATCACGTTATTGTGATTTTACTGTGTGTTCTTTGTTGTTATTACTGCACTTCAGAAGGTTGCTTTGCATTCTAATAATGAACATCACTTACATAAACCTCTAATGTATGTTTTGGATGCATTCAGGAATTAAGAATGTTTTTGATAAATTTTAGTTGTTTATTTGGTACTTACCATATGTTATTCTTTATAGGACAGTTGCAGCTACCAACATGAATGAAACGTCTTCTCGTTCTCATGCAGTTTTTACAATTGTATTAACTCAGCGTCGAAATGATAGTACCACTAAACTTTCAACCGAAAGAGTTTCAAAGGTATTTATCTTAATGTATTGTTTAATTACCTACCTTAATTTCTTCCATTTATTAAAAACATTTATTTTATTTTCAGTCAAAGTGCATGTGCTGCTGCATCTGACTATCAGTGTAGCAATCTTTGACTACAATTATTTATTTAATCAGAACACAGTAAAATGTATTTTATATCAATTGATAAAATAGATACAGTATTACCTGCCAAACATTTGTCAATAGCAATTTTTGCCCTAATCTAATTAGAAGCTGAATAGTCTGGTTGTAAATATAGTACAATATTATATCCTATTGTGAACATTTAACTATACTATACAGGTAATAGTGACAAATGTCTTTACTTATGCTGTGTTGCAGTTTTTGTGTGTAACAAACTTTTTAGCAAATACTGTATACCATTTTATTATGAAATTTTAACGTGTTTATAATTTGCAGATATCTTTGGTGGATTTAGCTGGTTCTGAACGAGCAGATTCAACAGGCGCAAAGGGTACCCGGCTGAAAGAAGGTGCCAATATCAACAAATCCCTGACTACACTTGGCAAAGTCATCTCTGGGCTTGCTGAAGTTGTAAGTGTCAAATGTGTTTAATTTTTTCACTGCATTTAGTTTATTGTTAAAATATTAGATTTATACTGAAACATAACTCAGCCTTCCACTTAATTTTTTAAGATCAAGATGATTTACAATTCTGATTTTTGCCTTTTTTTTCATATCTGTTCTGCCATAATAGGCAAATAAGGTACGTGTCCCTAATTATAGGGTCTGTTCTATCTCTCACACTCTCTCTCTCTCTCTTGATCATGGCTACATAGCTCTCATGATGTTTACAGTATAATATTATTATTGGGAACCATATAGTGTTTGGAAATCCTCTCACGTTAAAAGAAAGTGAGCTGTTGGTTTCTGAATCATTTAGTTATTCCTTTAAATTTGGTGTTGCCATACAATACTTATTTTTATCGGGTGTTTTCAGGCTTCTAAACCAAACAAGAAGAGAAAAACGGAATTCATCCCATATCGTGACTCCGTGCTAACATGGCTGCTTAGGGAAAATCTAGGTGGAAACAGCAAAACGGCTATGGTAGCAGCCATCTCCCCTGCTGATATTAACTATGATGAGACACTTTCAACACTTAGGTATGTATATAAATTTTGTAATGTTGATTGCTTAGGGAATATACTGTACATTACTTCATTATTTTATATTTCTGAGATGTGATTGAAATCCTCTATGCAACTATATTTCCGTTATGTATTTAACTTTACAGTGCATTGTAATTCTGACAGTAAAGACTAGACTCTTTTGACACCTTTAAATAATTTATTAGGTATGCAGATCGTGCCAAACAAATTCGCTGCAATGCAGTAGTTAATGAGGATGCTAATGCCAAATTGATTCGTGAGTTGAAGGAGGAGATCCAGCGTTTGCGTGAACTATTGAAGCAGGAGGGCATTGAAGTCCAGGAGGGTACGTTGCTAATTTTGATCCTAGCTTACAAGCAGTTTATTGTAAATGATATTTCATATGCTGTTCATTCCATTTTTAAACAGAATCCTGTTCCTGTTCACAAGGCTGATACCCAAGAACACAGTATGGTATGCTCTTGCCATTATTTAAGAATCTTCTTCTTTCAAATGCTTTTAGTGTACAAATGGTAACTGAGAAACCAACCCTTATTATATGAAGGCAGCACACCATATCACTGCGTATCTTAGGGGACTTGCTGTATAATACGCGATCATAATATTTGCCAGCCATACCTTAGTAACCTTGCTAGTTTATATAATAATGAAAAAATTTAGCTCCGCTATAGCCAGTGCACAGACTGGGTCAGCTGTCATGAGTGATTGACAAGCATAATTTTAACTCATCTCTGCAAATAAACATAAGATTCTTGGTCAGTTAAATTTGACACCAGTGGCTGTTATCAGCAGGGATGACTGAAGGCTGAGTTAATGTGGGTGCCATTTTCTCCCTAATGCCCCTACAGCAGGCCTGGATGGCAAGGTCATCTGCCACAATGACAACCGTCCTGCTGATCTGGGGCCATGTAAGTAACCAACCCATCCATCATGCCCCAAGTTGTGCCCACGCCTTTCAGCTCTGTATGGCTGGTTACCCCCTTGCTCAAGCCATTTTGCTGTATATTTTTTCTTTGGTCTGCCCCTTTTTCATTGGGTGCCCTTGCATTGCTCATTGACTATTTTGCCCAAGGTGCACTGTTTGGCCAGAGTCAGGTGTTATGCACTCTCCCACGGTCATTTCTTGAAAATAAGCAATTTGAATAGCTAGAAGCTGATGTGCACTGTGCCTTTAATAGCATTTGAAAATTTATTTTGTGGCTGAAATAAGTGCATGCATTGCCAAAAATGGTGTTTATAGCCATATTCATTGCAAATATTGGAATTATGATACAAAATTATTGACAATTAGTGTCCCTGATTGGGCAGTGCATTTTGTGGTCATAGCCAGTTTTTATGTAGACTTGCATTTGTCACATAAACCTGACTATGCTTTGAGGTGCACCACAAAGCCTTCTTCAGTTGGCCGTTTGTCTCTTGAACACTTCCAATTAATATATTCGAGATGGCTGAGAGAAAGTGCTCAGCTGATAGTAAACCAGCACACTGCACGGCTTGGCAGCCTGAGTCCTTCCACTCACTTGTGGGTGTTGGTGTACTGTTGTATGCTATACACATCACATGCTTAATGCAGTCATTTTATTATCCCTTACAACTTTATTTTTACAGGAAATTTTTAAACATTTTATTTGCTAAATTGTGTTTTGCTGAAGAAATTTATGAAGCTGGGTGCTGAGCCAGTTTTGTAAGCAGTGTGCTTTAATTTCTGGTGCTGTCGCCAAGCCATGTTTCCCTGTCATATATTTTTTTTAGTTAATGTAGCCATTTGTATCCTATTGTCCTTTATACAAAATTGACCTATTCACTGTTACACAATTGTGATCACCATAAACACGCTGTGTCATGCAATTTTGTTTTTATAATGTACACTGTACTGTACATCATCTATAATTCATACAAGAAAAACAATAAATTTGCAGAAATAAAATCATTAAATATATTCGTACTAATGTAACCATTCTTCAAAGATGAAATTCGTACGGGTGAGTTACGTCTGAGTGAGCCACAGTACCTATTGACAGTTGGTGAGAAACAGTGGGCTGGTGCCCATGGTGATCCATAGTACCTTGTAAGAGTGGGAGTAACATGGCAGTTTCTGTCATGAGGGCAAGTGTAGATGAATATAAGAGTGTGTATATACTGTATATGCAAGTGTAGACAATTTTTGTCTGCAATGATTGTATGTGATATGCTATAAAACACTGTTGTTCATACATAGAAACAACATACAGTATTTTGTGAATATCCTCTGCATAACTTTCTAGGTGCAGAAATAAGTCACACTGTGGCTGAAACAAATCTAAACTAGTCACATGAAATGAAAGCGACAACTTTTCAGTATGTACTGGACACTTATCATGCCATAAAAGTGAAAGTGTGGGAGTGTCAATATATTGCTTTGCAAGAGTGGAAGAGAGTTAATATAAGGCAATATATTGACCTTCTCTTTCACTCTTTTTAAATGAACTCGACAAAAGTTCATTACAGACTGAAACATTGTCATTGTCATGTCTTTTCATGTGTTGGGTTATTATAGCCTTAATTTTTGGTAACTGTCTGATGTGCTCAGACAATTAAAGCAATGCCCCCATCCTTTCCTTTTCTTAACTATGGAAGGTATTGGTGCGGGATAATATTGACTAGACCTCAACTGCTGCAGTGTCACTTTGATATTACATCTTCCAGTTACCTTTAATTAATGTTCATTTGTATATCAATAAAAAAAAAATTCCAGCAACAGAGAGTGTTTGACTGTGTGGTACAGATTACACTACATACATTACTCAGAAAGGTTGTGTCATTCAGGTGGTAAATAGCCTTGTGTACACTTTAAGAACCACTGTAGACAATCTATCGAGACTATTTGTGTGCCAGATTTGTCGGTAATTATTATATTAGTGTAATCAAAATTAGCAGAAGGCTTGCTGATGAAGTTGGTTACACATTCATATTTTCAAGTTCTTTTCATCTTGTCCTTGTGTTTAGTTGTCTGCATGTGGGCCTTTCTCTTGACATATTATGAGAGAGCCATCATTCTATGGAATGCAAACAAAATCATTTGCTTCTCTGTAGAGTATGGAACAGTATTATATTTTGGAGGGAAATGAGTTCATTTTGTTCATGCAGTCACATAAATTCCAAGTTTGTTTCACCTATTTGTATGAAATGGAACCGGTTCCAATTATCAGTATAACGCACGTGATTCTTGCACGTGCACACATTATCCCTCCATTGTTTTGATGACTTGCAAAAAGCTCAAGGTCTTTCTGGGGGGAGCCCCGTCGGCTCCCCGGAGCTATCCCAGGCTGATATGCTAATGTCAGACTTTGGCATCAGTCATGTGTATGGAGTTCTTAGGCCTACCGGGGACCACGGCCAGAACCGGGCCCCCTCAGAGAGGCAAGGGGAGCAATGGCCTATAGAAGCCCCCGTGTAGTTGGAAGCATTCTATGTCTGCCATCGACCGGAACAGGCACCCAGAAAGGTAAGCGCCCCAAAACAAACCCCTATTCTGGTTAAAATTGCTACCTAATACCGAACTAGTGGATAGAACTCCCCAACCGAAAACAAGCAAATTAGTGTGACGTCACACACTGCCGCGCCGCTGTCTGCGCAGCTCCCCCCTCCCCGGGAGGGGGAAGGGGGAGCCCCAGACCCCCCGCGCCGGCTACCCACACCTCAGTTCTTGAGGCTGATGCTATTGGCGGTGGTCGTGTGCTCTGGCTCCGGTGTCGCTACTGCACTGTGCTTTGAGTGTGGTGTTAGTTTTGTGGGTGCGAGAGCCAGGAGTTATCTTCAGTACTCGGGCTGCATGCGCCTAGGGCTGCCTTCCCTAGGTGCCCTGTAAGTACTGCCCTTGGGGCTTGGGGCCACCTTCCACAGGCTCCTCGGGGTCTGCCTCTGCTGGTCCGTTTTACCTTTCGGTTTTTCGGCCGCCTGTTGGGCTCTTGGGTGTTCTGTTCTCCCTTGTTACCGGCAGGTAAGAGGCAGTTTGCACTGGTAGGGGCGCAGGGTGCTGCTCAGCTTGTAATTCCCGACATCGCGGCCGGCTCTGTTCCTTGGGGTTCGCTGTCCTCTTGCGGGGTTTTGTTTTTCTTTTTGTTTTTGCCTGGTGGGGGGTTCTGTCATTTTATTCAGTTTGTTTTTGCCCTTCCACTGTTCTCCTCGGTGGCGCCCCCTGCTAGGTCCCCGTGAGTGTACACGTCCCTGGGGTTCAGCTTTAGAAGTTTGCTTGGTAGTTTTGGGCGCCGGTTTGCAGCACCCTGCCTGGGACTACCTGAGCGCGAGTCCTCTTAAAGTAAACGCTCAGGACCCTGGGAATCCCCTAGGGGGCGCGTGGGTCCGATGGATGTGACCCCGGAGTCCCCACTCGCTGTGTGCGAGTTTGAGGGTTGCTCGGTCCCCTTGTCTCAGGGTGACCCTCATTGTTTTTGCCTCTGCCACGCTGCCTGTTGGGTCGGTGATACTTTCGACCCTGAGTCCTGTGAGTGTTGCTGCTTGCTTGTGACTCAATTTACCCAATCCTCTGATGATTCTATTCGGGTACAGGCGGCACGTGCGTTGCAGTCTAGGTTTCGTCTGTTGCAACGCGCTCGGTTGGTTGCTTCCCCGGATGCCCCGGGGCTGCCCCGCTTTGCTTTTCGAGACCCGGACTTGGGGGTGGGGGTCGCTTCGATCCTGGTTCAGTCCGCACCTCCTCGTCCTTCCCCTTCTGTTCGTTCTGGTCCCCCGCCCCTGCTTCCGGCCCCGAAGCGTCTGAGGGTTTCGGGGTCGGAGCAGGGGTTACTTGATCTCGAGACTCGGGCAGCTTCGGGGGTTGCCCCTTCCGGGGGGGCGGCAGAGGCATTCGAGTCTTGTCTCCCGGCCGAAGCTTCAGGGTCTGACCAGTGGGCCCCCCTTCCTCCAGCTTTTCCGGCTGCTCCGTCCTTGTCTTGTGGGGTCGGGGCTTGGGGAGAGGACTCGGCCTCGGGTCCTGTGGTGACGGACCTCGAGGCTGGGGAGGGGCTGACTTGGGGGCCTTGGGCCCCGCTGGACCCCGCCTGGGTTTTTCTTCCCACTGAGCGGGGCTTATTGTTACAAGGAGTGGGGTTTTCTTTCCCCCCCTCTGCGTACGAGTTGGATTTGGTGTCGGCCCCTCCCCGGGTACGGTTTCGTGTTCCCCCGGGTACGTCGGTTCCGCCCTTCCGGAGGTTTTCGGCTTATCGCATCCAACCTGGTGTGGTGCGCGCGGCCTTTGCAGCTTACCTCCTGCGTGACCCGGATTATGCCTCGGAAATGGATCCGTCCACGTTCAGGTTTGGGACTTCGTTCCCTTTCTGGCTCCGTTACGAGGTTCCGGAGTCATCCTGGCTAGCAGACTGCCCCTTGTTTGTTCTGGATTCCTGGCATTCCTTCTGTCGTTCCCGCACGCTGGAGTGGCGGGAAGCTTCCACGGTGCTTCAGGTTTTCCTGGGGGGTGAACTTGAGTACCTGAATGAGTGCTTGTTTGCCCCTGCCCTTCCCCGCGATGTGGGCGTTATTCAGCTCCATGTGCAGGTTCCCTCCCTTTCGGCGGCGCTCGTGGCGGAGGACTTGCGCGCTCGGGGCCTTTTGTGTTCGGCCTTGCGGTTCTTTTCCCTCCTGGAGCTGTCTTCGGATTGGCTCGTGGAGGATGTGGGGACGCTTGGGGCCGTCCCGGGGTCCGGCACCTTGTCCTCGGCTGCGCGTTCGTCGGCTGCCTTGTTGAAGCTGTTCACGCCGATTTTGCGGGATGCGGTTTCCCTGTTCTATGCTTCCCGTCTCGCGTGTCGGCAGGCGGTGCTGGGTTCCTCCGTGGAATCTGCTTGGGCTCTGGCTCTTAGGCGTTCACCTTTTTGTCCTCTCCTGTTTGGGGAGTCGGCCGTGGCGCAGTTTATTCAGGCTGCGTCGG